AACCTCCCGGCGTGTGGCTTGAACGCGGCCAGAAGGCGGGTGGGTGCCGTGCGGGTGAGCTAGCGGGTGAGGCCGCTTTACGGTCGCGCGACTGGGGGTGACTTAGGCTGAGTGACTTTTAAGGATGGGTGAGCAATCACCCCGGTCGCGCGACATTACGCAATCTCACCCCAAGAAACCTTATTATCCACATTATTTCTCTATATCAATAGCCATTGGTTTGAGATAGTATGCTGAGATTGCTAAGCCACATGACGGTCTCCAGATTATCTACTCTAGGTCTAGCTGACACGTAATCCTATTCCTTCATCCTGGCGATAAAGAACGTGAAGTGAAGGGATAGCTTAGAAGCCCTTTAAAACTATCACGTGAGTTTAATATGACCCCGCTTTTGTGATATGGAGAGTTGCTTGAATATCTTATCCTCTTGTCCTGAACTTCCTAATGATTTTATTTTTCGGACAAAGAAGAATCTTGCCCCCTGATTACTGAAGATGACTATGAAACAAATATTCTATGCAAGTTGTTAAGTTAGTCACGTGGTAAATACGTAAGCACATTGGAGATTGTGTATTAGGTTGCCCCGTTTCCTGTCTAGAGTCTAGATATTCTGGCTTTGTGACTAGTAGCTAAAGAAGAGAAACAACTGCGACTTTTCAATTGACTGTCCTGAATATGATTTCAATTCTATGACTTTTGTTTTTCTTGGATCAGCTCAAATTCTAGTTTCGTGGTGGAAAGCGGATGTTGCCAAGATCTACACGGTAGGGACCTGAGTAATGATTCCCTTTAGTTGGTGCCCAGTTTGGTCACGTGATAAGAACTAAAATGAGGCCCTCGCCCAAAAACTAAGACTGCCCCTCCATGATTCCTCGCATTACCGCCATGAATGTTCTCCATTACAATCAGTCAAACGAGATATGCGAGCCACTCACACATTTGCGAACAAGTATACAGGCTTGTCCATTGCCAATCGGTGCTTCCCTCAGGCGAGCATCTGGTCACACCATCACTCATTATCCTGATGATCAGGCCTCATTCGCTTCCTCGGCATACAATGAACCCAAGGGGCAGGACATCTGTGATGTTTCAGATGTAATTTAAAGCAATAGAGAGGATTACTCTTGTTCGACCCATCGACGTCTGGTCGAAGAGTCAAATCTGGGAGATACATTTGATGACAACGAACAGCCCCGGCCTAAGCGGCGCCGTATTTGAGTTGGTTGGAAGCTGCTGCTATTATTTTTTTTCTATCTAATCATGTTAATATCACCCAAGCACAAACGAATTCTCGCTTATTTGTTGAGGAACACGCTATGGAGGCTTAAGGGACTGAGGCCTGGCTACGGCTACCGTGGTCTGTACGTATTTCGTGTATCACGTGACACAGCGACCAAGGCCACGTACGCCGACATTGTTGATAAGGTCCGTGATTAGAACGTTTTGATTCTTCCTGCAAACTTAGTGAGTATATTCCTGGTTATTTTTGAGGAAGGTTGTAACATTTTCGCAGTCGATAGTATTATTCCAATTCAACTCATTCATCCTCGTTTCATGAATGAGAGCTCTGTCGGAAGCAATTTACCCATTAACATTGTGGGCGATCTGCGTGGCAACGTGCCTAACAGGTAGCAGGCACATATATCACGTGATGTGGAGGGGTAAAGCAGTTTTGAGTTAAGTGGAACAAATCCAAGTTGGGCACCTTAAAGTCAATGGCTGCAACAGTTCATCCAGCAAGAGTATCTTGCCACGTATGGTTATCCCTGTCTGATATGTCATCACTGAATCATACTCACATCCTTTTTAACTAGTCTCGATGACATTGAGGAAAATTCTCTAGTTTGCCCTTGCGTTTCATCCAGGCTGTCAGACCGGCGGACATACCTACCAAAACTCTTACCCCTCAAAAGACACTGAAACCACAATAACGGTGACAATCTTAAGTGGACGATAGCACGACATTGCCGTTTGAATACATACTTCAAGCGACAGCAATCAGTTAATTGGCGGTGGCTTATCTCTACAATGCTTCAGAAAATCAAGGCTCGCAGATCCACAACACAAAATGAGCTTTTAGAACTCTGTGAAAGGGAGGCAAGTAGAGTTTAGAGTCTTCTAGAGAAAGATCATGCTAAGCTAATCAGCTTTCTTGCCCTCGATGCACTATTGTGCCTGGACCGACGACAGAAGTTGTATATAAGACTCTACCGCCCACGAATACCATTGCCATTGTCGTTGACATATCCTCATCTGGTGGAGCAATAAAGATTGGGGAATCAGCAAATAATAATCTGGGTGTTGCTGCTGTGGGCAGGGTTGGCACGGAGGATGCAACTGATTTGGTCATTGTGCCTTGGAATGTCGACTGGTGGTTCTACTCAATTGGATCTGTTAGCATCCAATATATTGTCAAGGTACGGTAGTCCTTTCTCAACTTACACATGATCTGGTGTCTTTGGGTGCTAAAATGAAGCGACATCTCATCCGTGACAGGAATAGTTATGAAAGAAAATGATGCGTTGTCGTATGGTTCTGTCATCCATACTTGGCCTGCGATTTGGTCTGACGCAGCAATTGTGCGAGCATCTTCCTGCGTGAGTGCAAACACCCGTCCAGAGAGAATGCCTTGAATCATCAGCTATGATGAAATTCTCTCAGAAATTGCAGACTGACCTTGTCTGGGACTCAAAGAAGTGCCTTCGCCGAGCGTTGCGGCTTCCTCCAATACTTCCGGCGAAAGTCTAGCTTGGAAGCATGGTTCCAATCTTTCCGAAGGCACAGCACAAGAAGGAAATCTCGATGTCGAAGTTGCGGTCTTTTGCGACTGGGCTGCATTGCCAGTCACACTATTTGAGCCGTCATGAGTCTGCTTTGGTGCTTCGAGCTCCCGTGTTGTTTGACTGCGAGTGATTTCTAAGATCAAGATATTAGCTCGAAATCACATTGATATGGGCGCTCGCGACCTTTGGAGTACTTCAGAGCAAGAGCACATATGAGACTGCATTTGAATTCATTCTCTTGCTTTTGAATGGCTGACGGAAGACGAAGGCGTATATGTTCTCTCATGCATCCAATAGTTGTTTGTCCAAGGCCAAGAGCGCAAGGAATGACTAATTCATCATCAACACTCTTCAGAAAATGTCGATAATTGTTTCGCCTCTCGTCAGCCTTGGATTGCACTGCCTGACGAGGCGAACACCTCAGCAAAAACGCATGTTGCAGCTTCTTCTTTTCGTGTTGTTTGAATATCGCCTCAAGATCGGCTTGGGCTTCATGCCGCAATCTTATTGTCTCAATCGTTGACAAAATTGCCGAAATAGCCTCTGGGAGTGTGAGAGATGTGCGTGATGGTTTCCTTCCTGATCGGCTCGTCATTTTTTTCTGTATGATTCGCGTGTTTAGAAGAGAAAGTCGGTGGATTTCCAATGGTTTTTGAGTGGTTTGGGGTTGATGGCCAGGAAACATGACGGTGCGGGGTTGGCTTGGCCTGGCGGCTAAAATGTGGACTTAACCCATCAGCTAGTGGAAAATCACTGGTTAACTACTGGAAAAGCCGCAGAACTCGAGTGGCACTCAAGCTGTCCAGATTTATGCGTGTAGGATCTTCGCACGCACATACTTTTTCCTGCTTCTCTGCCAATGAGGATTCTAAGCGAGGCAGTTCCCATCAGAAAATAACACGGCCCGGTCTATTCCCATTCGAGAGACTTTGATTGAGTTCTCTCTATCTTGGTGCTGATCTTCAATTCAGCCCGACTGGATTTTGACTGATGCCGCAACCAGTTGTGACAGGGTTTGCAATGACTAATGTAGACAAGTAACAAGTCACAATGCTTCGTCTAACAGTTGTGGGGTTGTCAATCAGTCGCCTTGCGATAATATACAATTCGGAGAAGTAAAAAGGAATTTGGTACAGTGATTCCTTAGGGATATTGATCTCAGCTATCGCAATGTGGTAAGCTATAAATTAGACCGTGATCCAATTTTCCCAGGTTGACTTTTCAGCAAACAGAACCGTCTGATACATCGCTTTTCTATTCGAGTTAGATTCTCTTACTTCAAAATGTCTTTGTCAAGCCTGAAGATCAATGGACTCTATATCCTTCTATTCATCAGGGACGATCCGCCTGCTCAGAACGATTTCCATTGGGGTCTCTACCTTCACCGCAACTCCGAGACTGGAGGAACCAAATATCACATCAAACAGCAAGGCAGTGGCTGGATTACTGACCACGGACCTACTGCCGGAGTTTTCAAGTCTTTCCTTCTCATTGGGCTTTTCAGAATCGCTGATGTTCCAATGGGATGGGAAAATCACCTAGACCAGACATTGAAAACTTATGACAATCGCCTGAATACACCTGGAACCACCTGTCGTGTTTGGGTCTTCTGGGTTTTGGGTCTCCTACAAAAGCCAATTGCTGGGAAGACTATCCTTAAGTGCGATAACCTGCAGAGTCTCGAAGCTGAGGTTAAGAACTGGGGCAATGCCAACGCGGCGAGTGCAGCGGAGAATCTTCAGCCAAGGCCATTAGGAGCTTCCACTCTATGTGGGCTTTGAACGAGTCATGGTTCATGGTATGGCGAAATCTTCCCCTTATTCACGGCAGAGCAAGGGCTAACAACTTACTGTAAAGACCAGACTGGCTGCAATGGATTGAGGCGGACCCAGTCTATTCAGCATTAGTCCTCTTGAAAATCTCTTTTGGTGTATATTGAATTGGCATTGCACTTAGTTTATCATGTCTGAATCTCTTTAACCAAGCTCCAATCTTATCTCTTAACCCGGATCTTGAGCAAAACCTATTCTCACGTCTGTTCGTGTTACCCACGTGAAATGAAAATGCAGATGGACGGGCAGTACGTGCACGAGCTAGAGATAAGGACTACTATGTGAGATTAATCACTTTCCTCTTTGGTCAACTGAGTTTGTGCAACACAAGTAAAGATGAACTTGGCAGAACTTGAGAAAGAGCATAAACCATTCGATAGAACTTTGGAAGACAAGTAGAATATTCACCAGTAATAAGAGGCACTAGTCAAGGAAGTCAATGCCCTCTCACAATCTAATTCCTGCATAAAAGACTTCCCACCAAGCTCAATCACAAAGTGATACCACCAGAAGGTCTGTGGCACGAATCTCAACGCTGTTGTGAATTCCCAATATTCAGGATACCAGCCTGCTGATTCCCAATCTAGAAAGCCGGTGATGTGCCCTTTATGGATCATAATATTGTGGTGTTTCAAATCTCCATGCGTAAAGACAATGCGATGGGGTAGTTCGTCTATTTTTCTCGCTCGATTCATTGTCTCGTGATAAACCTTTTCGGACGAAAAACCCCCTGACCAGGCAGGTTCTCTCAAATAATTGTTGAGTTCTTTCTCTGACTTGAACGGCCCTGCAAGATGATTGGGTACCCGGACACTTCTAATGGGCGTTCCTACTATAGAGCAGATTTTTCTTTCGCCCCACGGATTTTCCCAGTTTCTTAAACACGTTAGATACTGATCAAGTTGTCGAGACACCGCCTCTTTCTCTTCGTCGCTCAGTGTCTTGTAAACCTGACCTAACTCCTGGCCAGGAACACGCGTCATCAGAATTGAAACCGGCGCATGAGGACTATCAGTGTGCTCTCCATAGCAGATAACCTTTGGCACGGGTAGGCCTGCTTTCCTAGCAACTTGCATAGCCACAACTTCCTCTAGCCGAGTACCATCAGACCACTTGAGAATCAGCCCGAAAGGAAGCTGAGCGATCTGATTATCGTAGGGAACTCCGACCCAACTGCAATAAGATTTTGAAAACCGTCTGAGGTATGTATGAATGATGCCCCAAATTTGACGGACACGTGGGTGAGTTATGCGAGGAATAGGTGGTAGTTGGTCGCTGAGAAGTGTCGCCCTATGATCCGACCATGAGAAATTTGGTAGTAGCAGACGGGGAACTAGCCACTGTAGCATCTTAGCTATATATTGCAGCAATGATATGAAGAAGGAGTTCAGAGAAGTGTTTGATTATTAAGAGGATAAGAAGCTAGGCCTCAACCTAAGTTCATTGCTGGTATTTATGTCCGACAGTGTCAACTTATCACGTGCTGAGAGGCGGTGTAGCATGTCATCTTAGTCATCGGGATGTCATTCGTTCGGGCTAATGCGCGTATTGTTTAGCCTTTACAACGTGATTTAGAAGACCAAAATCAAATAATCAATCAAGTGCAGTGACACCATTTAGTTAGCACTTCTAATGCTCTCGGTTTCAGTCTTAGAAGTCATCTAGGCAACACTATACCACAATGCCTGCCACGACTCCCGCTACCACGGCCGCCACATCATCTAACACGCAGCACACAGCTACTAGGACAGTTTTCGAGAAACAGAGCTGGTTTACCCTAACATTCCATTTTTCCCGCGTCGCGCGCAGTTCACAGTACCATTAGTACCTAAGAAGGCGGGTTTTGCCTTGCCAGACCAAAGATCCTGACAGTCGAGGCATTTTTGGTGGCTTTGAATAGAGACTGGTTGATAGGGCGAGGCTTTCAACACCGGTCGCTTACCGATTACGTTAGTTGGTTAGTTAGGTCAATCGCATCATGACTCACTAGATAACAACCTATTTATAATAACATCACATGATGAACATTAGTCATGTGATCGTACTTCAGGCTTCAGTGCGGGGCATTCTGGCAGAGATGATACCCAAGACACCTCGAATTCTTAAGCATTGAAATCTGACCCTCCAGTTTAGAAGTGCTCTTCTTCCCACGGCTTACTTTCAACTGTACTTCTCAGCATGGATTGCCAAGTTGCCTCGACTCGCGTGAAGGCCATCATTAGCAAAATCAAAGCACTCATCAGGAACAAGGAAGTAACCGAGGAAGGGAAATCTCGATTAGACTCGGGATGGCAATATGGAGGCCAGAAGATTATAGCAGAGGCCGCCAATCTGAAATCTGAGTTTGAAAAAATAAATGGCAAACATGTATGTTATCTTTCCCTCGCTGAAACCTCGGTCTGACAAACCACACGAAGGTTATAGAATGCAAGGTAATGCATTTTTACAAGAGTGTCGATTTCGAAAACCCGACTGGTCGCCTGATTTTGATACCGGTCAATGGTGACATATCGATCATTCCCGGCGGCCCAATGCTAGCAGACTCGAGCTACTATCTAGAAGATGAAAGATCCCTCATCGGGGATGGGTTCGATGCCATCTTTGTTGTCCTTACTAAGGAATAATGCGAAGTGCTGGAATTTGGATACAAGCTGATGCCAATGACTTCAAGAAAATTTTCTCATGTTCCCAGATAGCTCGAATCCTGAAAGAGATGTCTTACTGTATTATCCATATCTTGCAGAGGTTGGCTGCTATTCCAAAGAGAAGCTTCATTGATATTGGAATACGAAGAATCAATTCCACCAACATCTGGTAAAATCAGTTGCATGAGGGGGTTGAACCTGCTGAGAGAGGGTGCTGTTTCATGCCTTGACTGGGTTTCTGGCATATTGAATGGATCCTCGATTGGCAGAATTTGATTCTCCAACAAGATATTATCTTCGTGAGTTATTCGAGCACGTTTCTCTGGGACGAAAAAGTCATCCTTCGAGGCGCGTTTGCGACTCTGGATGATCGATCTGACTTGACCTGTAGCTTGTCAGTACTGCTTGAGGTCAGTTTTCAATAACTTACTGTCAAACATTGCCAGACATTGAGCTGTCCATTTCTCTTGCTTTTGTGTATCATCTCTCCATTTTGATGACAATATGGCGTTTGCCAAATAAGGCAGATCGTCGTATTTGACACGGCGAAAATGACTGACACTAGGAAGAAGTATCCCCAAAATACCGATGCCTTTATCGATGGTATTGTCATGTTCACTCTGAACCGCGAGGCGTAGGCAGTAAAGCTTGTGAAAAACTCGATATTTGATGCCGTACTCAATGCATCTCTGAGCTCTAGCCTTATCGCGCAATTGATCACTGCGATCCTCGATAAATTCTTTATAGTGAGAATCTCTCCAATCAGATGCGGAAGTGAGATCATCGAATATTCTGTCAGCTCGTGTGCTACCATAAATCCTCTCCTCCCATTCAAGATATTCATCCGTCAACGATATCATACTTAACCCTCCACGAAATCTCTCATCTAGTAGTTTGCCTTTAGGTTCTGCGAGTGAAACGAAATCAACAATGCGTGGATCTTCAGCCATCCAGTTTACTGCTTTTGACAAGAAAGATGTAGGTGGCTCGGCAGTTAATTTGATATATTCCTTGCGATCACGTTCCAAAAAACGAAGAAGAAGTTCGATAGAATGTATCTCGCGTCGGTCATTTGATTCTGGTGCTATTGGAGTAGACCTAGTAGGTTGCTGGTGGGCATTCGGTTGCAATAAAGCTTGCAGCCTATGAAAAGCAGGCTCAAGCTTTGTGCGGTAAGGTAGAAGAATCTCTTTATCTGCATCTCCGATCTCAGATAAAATAGAAGCTGCACGCAGAATGTCTTGAAGCGAACTCATTGTATACACAATGCAGTATCAGAAGGTGTTATTTGAGTTCCGTGGCAAGAGCAGACAATAAAAAGCTGAGCCGACATCTTTAAATCAACCGGCTAGCGCTTGGGCCTTCAATCATTCGACCTAGAGACTCAGCTTCTACCTAATATAAGCCACACGCGGGGTTTCTCGCATATGAAAGTGCAGCCTCGTGATTCCGTGGCGCTTCCAAGGCCTACACCCCTGTCATTCAAATGCTCAGCATTTGAATGACAGGGGTGTAGTGGAGCTTTATCATATCAGATAGTCAGTCCTTCGCCCATCAGAGCTTACTATACGATACCTTCATTTGAAGTTAATCGCCTTTCAAGTATTTTCCAAGTTTTGTCTTAAGCAGTGAAGCGAGCGCCAGATCTTTGGGAAGATATAATTGGCTATATCAACCTTGCAGCCAAATCTGGAAACAAAGCTATGCTTTCGAGCTTTCGACGTTCTTTTTTCCTGGACAAGTTGACAGTACGATAGGAAATAGTAGTTTCTTTACGACCCCGCTCGATTAATTTCTCCAAGCCTAGCCTCCCGCACCTGCTAATATATTGAAAAGCTAACCTTGCTAGCTCGTTGCCTATTCTGCATTTCTACGACAATTACGTACCATTAGTAGAGTAGATCTACTGGCCTGATAACCAGATTCTTCAAGACATGGAGTGGGAGAAAACATAGTCGTTCCAAAATGTATTTGACAAACCTTCAGCTGGCTGACTGCTATACACCTTAAACAAATCCTTAAAATCCGCCTAATGCCCTTCTATCTTAAATATGGACAAACAATGTTTGGGTAAAACAATTCTGAAGCCTTACAATCAGTTACCTGTGGCTCAAGTCTTTCAATGATGGATACAGTCACATCGCCCGCAGTAAGCAATCTTGTTGCTCTTTTTCTTGACCCATAGGATGTTAATTTGAGTTCAGCAAGCTCCTCAAAAAGAAAAACCGCTATTCCGAGGCTCATATGGAGCAGATGACTGCATTGTTTACCTAGGCATATTGCATTCACCTGTATTCGAAGAAGCGCATGTACTACTTCTATATCCTGATGGTCTGAGAAAAGTTATGGTGTCGGACTTCCTGAAGGACGAGGTGGCGAAGGTAGCGGTGGAAAAACAAGGACGGGAGGGTGAAGTTCAGCGAATCAAAGATACGAGAGAATTATTTCCGAACAGACCGTTAATGTGGTAAGGAAACAAAGAAGTCAGCTTTTGGTTGGGCTTCATCCGTCTCTGCTATATATGTTCCTGCTTGTTGTTCTATTTCTGTGTGGCAGAACCTTCATGAGTTTTTAACAATAGAAGGAGTACGGCCTATTGCATAGTCGCAGCGAGTATTCACCTCTATTTACTCAATTTGCTTTAGCGAGATTTCAAGATTTGATTATACTTCATCTTTGGGCAAAGGGATCCAGGAAAACTTTCAATAGGGTGAACAGAGCAGCCTAAACTCAACGTGACCATTTGCATGAGGCTTTTGGTGACTGGGAATCTTATGAAAGCTACGGTCTTTGGCATAGCTAGCATCCTCTCATTTTCGCTTCTACTAGTAACGCTACAGATTAGTGTCTATAAACCATGTAGTCAAGAGCTGTAGATGAGAGTAGTTGTGCAGGCCTCGGTCTTTTAATCCAGAGATCAATTTAGCCGTGCATAGACTCTACATGACCACTTCAGAGAGACAAGGGCTTTAGCTGTGTATTTAAAGCTGGCTTTGTCCAATTTTTGCTTCAAGATACAACATAGGCATTCCAAGATCTGCCCTTGTTTTATTCCTACATAAGCTATATTTCTGTTTCTCATAGCTTGATTATGGTACGTATATGTCTGTCTGTATACTTCAATATAACGTCACTAAAGTTAGAAAAGAAATACGAGATCCCACTCCCCGAAATTTGCCTCCGAAGTGCGGCTGAATCAGTCTTAAAAGCCTTCCAGGTATCATGCCTTAGTCATGAAGCTTTCAGCACTGAAACTTTTCGAAGAAAACTTGATCCCGACATTCAATTGCTTTTGAAGAAATGCCATGAATCTGGGGAAACTGGTATTCACAATAAGGACATCGCACACATATTTGACAATCAATTGCTGTGTGATCACGTCCAAAGCATATCTCAGCACCTTTCACGAGATGTTCTACTCAAACTATCCTTCCTTACGTGGTACTTTGATGCACGTGGCTTGGTCTCTACAGAGCTTCGCTACTTTCTTGCCAAGCCTCTGGACAACTTCGACCTGGTTTTCGAAAATATTTGGCAGAGTCTGGTCAATCGCTCAGAATACCACAAGACAAAGCTGGAGTTTTTTCAGGAAATGATAACCCTTTTGAAAGAGCTCAATACTGCTTTTGTGCATAGGTGTAACGTGATTTATTTTCCTATGTTGGAGGACAAGGATACTGTTTGCTTCCTACAGTCTCTATAAGCTTGATGCTGGAGAATTGGGCTTGAAATATCATGAAATCTAAGACAAATATTTTGGAGATATGTACCTAGTTTTTGTAAATATTTGCAAACTGAGATAGGTGGATTTCACGCTAATACATTAAATCACCTGTGTATGTCATTTACTTCTCCTCTCTTAAGATCGTGGCATTTGTTCCCCTCTCTTAAGTAGACAATTATGATCTCACCTTAGAGGGAGCATTCGCTAGTACTTATCTTTAAAATAATACTATGTGCTTGTTATGTATCATCGATAGCGCACTATGTTTAATTGTTGTATAGTGTCATTAAAGCATGAAACGCTGATCTTTCTTTACCTATGCCTTGCATCGACTGAGGAACCTTAAAAAACCCCAAGGTCCTGATCTCCTCTCCTCCACACAGTAAAGATATAAGAAAGAGAAAGACAATCCTAAATGCATGGAATAAAGTTACAGTCAATCTTACATCTTCAAAATGCCAAATAGTCAAGATCAGAACCGGAACTTTTTTATACTTGGTGACTATATTTTTCCAAAACCACCAGATTTGATAAAAGCACCGCCATCAGAACAAATCCAGTCTCCAGATTTGACAATTCGATCGGTAAATTTTGTCAGCCGGAGCATGACTCAAGATTTTTATATCAATCACCTGCCGGAGGAACCATTTGTTCACAATCCAACCAAACCTCTCTCCAGGTGTTCATCTCTTGAGCTTTTGGACGGACCGTCTTGGTATGACGAAGATAATGGTTCCTACCCTGTCCCTCAGTGCCTTTCTTCAATTGCCAAATTTTTCAAGGACATGCTCGGTCAAATGAAAGTAGGTTTTTATCTCTCTGGATTAAGAGTGACCACTAAGAAGGTACTACAGAACAGCAACATTTCGGGTCAGTCTGGTTAAATTATCGATACCGGTCAGGATTTGGTTGTCGACGAGTTTTTCTATCTCAGACTTTACTCACATGGTACTGGAGAGGCTTTTTTGCAGAGCCTGCGCAGATTGTTTATAATTTAGCACAGCACTGGAAATGGCTATGAAAATTATACCTATTCGCCTATCATGTTAACCGACGTGATCGCAATCTCGTGTTTTAATTTCAGATTTCAGATATTATGAACCCCAGGAACTTTCCCATTAGAATTGACTGTGTTATATTCATGACTTGGTGTCATCATCGAGGAGGTCATGTGAATAGAAAGAGAAATAACATATACATTGGTTGCAAATTCAAACTAAAGTCCTTTCTGTTTATTATGCATGTAATGACTTGCCTGAAATGTAGGGTCAAGTTCCTGCTCTTGCATGTTAATCATACATAGCCCGGGGGCGTAAGGCCGGTCTAGGACAGAGCTAAAATTTATGCTTACGCGCATGACATGTGACTTGCACTAAAATATCTGAGCGTTAGAAAGCACATCAAATGTGTTTACAGAGCTTGCCTTATATGGCTAAACTTTTCTACAGAGATCAACGCCATCTAGTCCGGTAGACTCTTGGTGCTATACTCCTTTAATCATGGCCGCCTGAACTTCTGATGGCAGTGCTGAAGCCGTGACGCAAGATAGTGGCTATGGTTGGCGAGGGTCACCGGACTGAATTATGTTTAAAAGCCTCTTCTTTTCGTGGTCTTTCGAAGATTTTATCATAAAAGTTATCACATGACTGCTGGGTGATTTCAGAAAGTATCGGCTATGGATGCAGCTCTCTTAGGTCTTCTTCTTTATCTAATCTGGCTTGTCCTATTTATTCCCTGCTGCGTTTACTTTCAGTCAAGAAGATTGCAGATTCTCTGGACACCAAGGCTTCGAAGGTTCTGGATCAGATTGGCTCC